TTCATGAGTGTTTCAATAAGATTTAGATATTACAATTTTAATACATTTACTTTTTGCAAAATATTTGACTCAAAACACATCAGGGCATATCCCCAAAGTGTTTGAAGTAAACAGGGAGTAATTGTTCAGACCTGATTAAACCGCGATTTTATTTGCAGGATATTTTTTATTACATAATTATTCGTTGTATGAGTATATTTACTTATATTTTACATTTACTTTACATTATTGCAAAATTTTATGCAAAACCTAAACACTAAAGATATTGCGATAAAATTATTGCAATACCAAGTTTGATGGCTTTTCCTCATAAATCATTGTACCATGTGACATTATATGCTGTAATTATTATTCTTTCATTTTACCATCTATATAAACGCTTCAGAACAAAATCTTTGTTACACATTTATAATGAAAAATTAAGTGTCCAAAGAAATATAGAAGTATAAATTTTTGTCACCTGTACCTTTTTGGTCAGATGTTTAATTATCCGAGTGTTAGTAATGAAATGGGATTGAATTTGATTGATTTATGAGTGAAATTGCTTGTGTTTTTATGTGTGGTTACAAAATGAACTTTTGATTAATTTCATGTCTTTTTTTGATCTTTGAGTATTTTATTTCTTTCACAATAATTTCTTTCACTTTTTAAATGGTAGACAGTTTTTTGTTGTTGTTTTTTTGCAAGTTTGCATTTTTTGGGTCCGAATTTTAGTCAGATACTATTGGAATTATTATTTGGGCCTATTAACTTTAATGCCAATATTCTGTGATCACTGGTCTATTGTTCTGTTAAACAAGTTATAATAGTCTTGTATAGTGACGTATGGTTATTAATTAAAACAAGGATGATGTTAACATGTGATACAATGTTGGCCTTAATCTCTTTAGAATTTGCTATGGTTTGTTTTCATTGTTTTGTTTTACATGTACAAGTGGAGCTGGCAGTCTTTAGAAATCATATGGCATCTTTGCAGCTTTACTGGGAGATGAAGTCCTCTTCCTGCATCGTTGTTTGTTTGTTTTGTTAGATTTTAGGTTACACTGACACAGTAAAGTCGTACATTGAAGGGGAAGTGATTTGACGTTGGCAACCTTAACCACTCTGCAACAGAGGTCCCGCTTGCATGTGCATTATTTCAGGGTCAAAGTGGCACCTGAGTCAAACTACCAGCAAAGGATTAGCTGTCTCAATATAACATTCAAAAACATACTTTGATACATATTGCTTTGCTTGAAATTTTAACTATAGAATTGAGCAGGAAAGTTTTTATCTGTACCAATGGCCCCTTTATCTTTACAACCCTAATTCAACAGTCTTGATTTTGTTGACTGTCTTTATCAACAGGCTCTTCAAGGTATGCAATAATCACATAATTGAATGATGAAAGCCACTTCAAACTTTCATTTTAAACCAACCTCTTTTAATGGAGAATAAACAAATGCAAGTGATGTTTGTCTGCTACTGACCCCAGGTTTGAAGTGGGTATAAATTGAGGGAAGTCTTCAAATCTATACTACCCATTATACATTTTGATTACATGATTAGAATTGTTACGGAAACTCCTACTTCAGGTCTGTGACTTGTGAATCATTGAACTTTGATTTTGTTTTTCACATTTTTATTCTAATTTTAAACTGTTGAGTATGGTGGGTTGTGTACGCATTTACATTATAAGTGAGAAGTTGTGACTTTCTCAATGAACTTTAAGTCATGAGTTTGTCTTCCTTGTCTAGGTTTTTTCTTTGTCTTTTCTTTCGAGTTTAAATGACTGTTAAAATTTCAGTTCAAATGATCTCTAAATGTGTGAATTAAAATGAAGTTTCGCTTCTTAAATATGTTTTTAAATTGATTCTTTACTGACTTATTTCATCTGAGGTGGTTAGATTATCTTCCTTGCAAAGAATTTGATCTTTAAAAAGATACTTGTGTTGTAAATTGTATAATAGTTATATAAATGAAATTGTGAATTTATATGTATGTATATTTTCATAGGTGCTTGTTTAATTATTCCTCTATACACATGTACAAGGTCTAGAATAAATATGCCAATGTATAATGCTTTAATTCACTTGGCGTTATCTTGATTTCAAACAGCATGTGTTTCCTTAAAAAATGCCTGTATAAAAAAATATATATATAAATATAAAAAAAATCACAAAAAAATCAGTCAGTAATCTTGGCAAGGTGGTTAATGAACTTTGTGGTGAGGTGAGAAAGGAAATCATACTAACACCATGCTATGGTACCTTGGGGGATTGAGGTATGTTTGAACATGTTAATCTACAAGATCATCCTAATTACAGAAAGTGAATTACAGTTCATAGGATGCTGTTCCATTTCCTGCATCATATAATTTACAGCTGCCATTCTCTGGTTACTGTGTGGCCTCAAGCTTTTTTTTTGCTGCTATTAACTTTATTATAAGAATTTAGAATTCTGTGTATCAAAATAATTATGTGAAATTTGCATGAAGGTCAAGGGGAGATTTCTAACAACTAGTGTGCTTTGAAAATGATGATTCACTTTTCCACTGGTCAGTGATATTGATGTCTTTGTTTGAAGCTGAATTGTCCATGGGGCCCACAATGCATCACTGTTAATCACCCATAATGCTCCACTGATAATTTCCAATAATGCAACATGTGTCAATTTGTATGAGAATTTATAGGACTGAAGCAGGGAATTGTGAATGGGTCATGTAATTAACTACTCTTTTATTGTGTGACTGCAATAATTCATTGAAGATGTTTTCTCTTCTTATTTTATTTCTAGGTTCAAGGTGACCTGTATATATATTTACTTAAAGGAGCTCCACTGAGGTCAAAAAGCCTAAAAACATAAACTTTGAAATTCTTTTTACGAAATATGCAAAGGATGTTGAATAATGAAATATACAAACATGCATTTTTATGCCCCCACAATGTGGGAGCATATAGCGTTGCACTTGTCCGTCCGTCAGTCCGTCAGTCCGTCCGTCCCGAAATCTTGTGAACGCAACTCCTCTTAAACCGGATGGCAGATTTTGCTTAAACTTACAGGGATGAACAACCTTAATGTGTAGAGGGTAGTAAAGGAAGGAATTTTCGCTGCGACCAAATTTAACAGAATTATGGCCCTTTGTTGATTTTTTCACTAGATACTATGTAGAAATTTTGTGAACGCAACTCCTCTTAAACCAGATGGCAGATTTTGCTTAAACTTACAGGGATGAGCAACCTTAATGTGTAGATGGTAGTAAAGAAAGGAATTTTTGCTGTGACCAAATTTAACAGAATTATGGCCCTTTGTTGATTTTTTCACTAGATACTATGTAGAAATTTTGTGAACGCAACTCCTCTTAAACCAGATGGCAGATTTTGCTTAAACTTACAGGGATGAGCAACCTTAATGTGTAGATGGTAGTAAAGAAAGGAATTTTTGCTGTGACCAAATTTTACAGAATTATGGCCCTTTGTTGATTTTTTCACTATATACTATGTAGAAATTTTGTGAATGCAATTCCTCTTAAACCGGATGGCAGATTTTGCTTAAACTTCCAGGGATGAACAACCTTAATGTGTAGATGGCAGTAAAGGAAGGAATTTTTGCTGCAACCAAATTTTACAGAATTATGGCCCTTTGTTGATTTTTTCATTATATACTATGTAGAAATTTTGTGAACGCAACTCCTCTTAAACCGGATGGCAGATTTTGCTTAAACTTCCAGGAATGAACAACCTTAATGTGTAGATGGTAGTAAAGGAAGGAATTTTTGCTGCGACCAAATTTAACAGAATTATGGCCCTTTGTTGATTTTTAGTTTTCAACTTGTGGCACATGTAGTCCAGAAAATATTTGACCTAGAGTCATAAGATTGACAGAACAGTGGCGTGTGGGGGCATCCGTGTCCTATGGACACATTTCTAGTTTGTGCTATTCTTAGCCAGATTTGAATAAAAAGTCATGCTTTGCATCCAGTAAACTTTGCTACTTTAAGTCTTTATTACACATTTTTTTCTTAGAATTTATTTTAGAATGTTTGTGTAGGAAGCTTTAAGATTAATAGTTCAAAGTGTTGACCACACTCTCTTTTAAATTTATGATAAGATGTTAGCAATGACTTGGTGTTATGTAATAGCTTATTAAAGTTGTTAAGAATGGCTTCTTGAGTTCTTGTCCATCTGGTAATTAAGAGCAAGAATAATGTTTGTTTAGCTTTTGTTTTGTGATAAAATCTGAGAATTTTTTTTCTTTATCATGGTAAGATATCTTTAAGGCACCTCTGTAGAGCTATCATGACTGCCACAAGTATATACTTTGTAAACTCTGCTAATAATGTTGTGTAGAAGGAAATGGTATCCACTTTGTAGTTCCTGTTTTCCTTTGATAATCAACTTCAAGCACACACCCTCTCTAGGCTCATGACTTTTGTGATAAAATGCTCTTTATACTATACACTTATTTCTCTAATTCTGATGAATTTCCTGTGAATTTGGTATATAATATGAGCTTCATTTTGCAGGAAAAGCTATTTTGAGCATATAGGGTGTTCTAATAGCTTAGTCATGTTTGCTAAAGAAATTGGTTGAGCGATATTTATGGTTTCATATTGATATATTGTCTTAATAAAAAAGCTATTGATTTGATATATAGTATTTTGATTTCGGGCTTTATGATGAGATGAACACAAAATTTGTGTCATAAAACTTTGTAAAAGTATATGTATATTTATTGTAAGTAAGTGTGGTAGTTATTTTCTTTTCAGTTAAGTTTCTACTGTGACATAAGCATTTTTGTTTTGGTGAAATTTTGAAAAGGTAGTATGAGGCTGTGGGTTTGGAGGGAAGGTTTGAGGCTGTGTGTTTGGAGGGAAGGCATGAGACTGTGTGTTTGGAGAGAAGGTGTGAGGCTGCGTGTTTTAGGGAAGGTGTGAGGCTGCGTGTATGGAGGGAAGGTGTGAGGCTGCAAGTTTGGAGGGAAGATATGAGGCTGTTTGTTTTTAGAGGAAAGGTATGAGGCTATGTATTTGGAGGGAAGGTCTGAGGCTGTTTGCTTCGAGGGAAGGTGTTAGACTGTGTGTTTGGAGGGAAGATGTGAGGCTGTTTGTTTGGAGGGAAGATGTGAGGCTGCATGTTTGGAGAGAAGATGTGAGGCTGCGTGTTTGGAGGGAAGGTGTGAGGCTTTTTGTTTGGAGGGAAGGTGTGAGGCTGCATGTTTGGAGGGAAGGTGAGAGGCTGCTTGTTTGGAGGAAGGTGTGAGGCTATTTGTTTGGAGGGAAGGTATGAGGCTGTTTGTTTGGAGGGAAGATGTGAGGCTGTTTGTTTGTAGGGAAGATGTGAGGCTGCCTGTTTGGAGGGAAGATGTGAGGCTGTTTGTTTGTAGGGAAGGTGTGAGGCTGCCTGTTTGGAGGGAAGATGTGAGGCTGAGTGTTTGGAGGGAAGGTGTGAGGCTATTTGTTTGGACTGCCTGTTTAGAGGGAAGGTGTGAGGCTGCCTGTTTAGAGGGAAGGTGTGAGGCTGCCTGTTTTGAGGGAAGGTGTGAGGCTGTTTGTTTGGAGGAAAGGTGTGAGGCTGCCTGTTTAGAGGGAAGGTGTGAGGCTGTTTGTTTGGAGGGAAGCTGTAAGGCTGTGTGTTTGGAGGGAAGGTGTGAGGCTGTTTATTTGGAGGGAAGGTGTGAGGCTGTTTGTTTGGAGGGAAGGTGTGAGGCTGTGTGTTTGGAGGGAAAGTGTGAGGCTGCCTGTTAAGAGGAAAAGTGTGAGGCTGCCTGTTTGGAGGGAAGGTGTGAGGCTGTTTGTTTGGAGGGAAGGTGTGAGGCTGCCTGTTTAGAGGGAAGGTGTGAGGCTGTGTGTTTGGAGGGAAAGTGTACTTAGGCTGTGTGTTTGGAGGGACTTTGTATGTTGAGAGTCATGTATTTTGAAGGAACATGTGAGATTGTGCCTTTGGAAGTTGAAAAGTACATACCCAATATTACATTACAAATTACTATTACAAACAGGCCAAATATGCACTGCTTTCATTATTTGCAATATGTTTACAATGTTTTTGAGTAGCTGGTTGTCGTGTTGTTTGTCAGAAGTACCCAATTATCAATTACTGTAAAATTCTACATAGATTTTGCCAGTCCCTAGGGCTACCTTTCATTAAAAGAGGAATCAAAAATGGAATGTGATTTTTCTGCTAATTATAGTATACTGGTTGAACATTTATCTTTTTCTCTTTCATATATGATCAAATTGAAGGAAAATTTAAGTGTTGTTCTGTAGCAGAAGGGAAATTATATTATTTTGTTTCCTGATGAAATTCACTCTTAGTCATAAGATTTAAAATATATTTTTACTAACAGCAAGGACAAGTCTTTTTTCAGTAGGCTTTCTGGCAAGGATTACTAATGTCATAATGTAAACATGGGTATTTAAAATCCTTTTGTTAGACATTGTAATCACACAGGCTTACAAATGGATTTTGTATTGATCTTTGTACATGATGGGTATAGATTGAATTATAAATATTTTCTGTTTGCATTTGCACTACTTTTCCTGGTAAGTTGTATTATCAGTTGTCCAAAGTTGTATAATCAGTTGTTCAGTCCATAGGAACTCTGGAACAGGACCGCATATTGCGGCGCATAAATCCGAATCCGTACCGGCTTTACATATTGTTTGTCCGACCTTTGAATATCTTTTCATATTATGCGAGCGGGTGGTCTTTAATTATCTAATCTCAATTAAATATAATCTGCTAATTTAAAAATCAGTCAAATTTACGGTATATTGAAAAAAGTAAAGGAGTGACATCCGCCATTTACCGAAACGTTCGGTGTAAGTTATCCCCCTTGATATGCTTGATTTTTGTTTTAATTTTTCTAGTAATGAATACGAGATGAGTGCCTAAAATATTTATCTATGGATCATGTTTTAATATTCCTTTTTTCAGTTAGGCAAAATCAGTTGGACCATATTACTAAAGTGTCTGTTTTCTCCATTTTAACAAATCAATACACGAATACGCCCGTTATAATGCCGCCTATACATGTCAACACGTGTAAACAATAAACCGTTAACGTTATATCCGGACGATACCTGATAGTTGACAAAAATAACGGGAACAAAATTCTGAAAAAATAGTAATCAATTGTAGCCAAAGGGGAAAAACTCATGCCGAAAACGTTGCGGCAAATGGCGGATGTCACTCCCTGTCTTTTTTAGCTCGACTTTTCTATGAAAAGGGGAGCTATCCTACTCGCCCCGGCGTCGGCGTCGGCGTCGGCGTTGGCGTCACACCTTGGTTAAGTTTTTCGTACCACCCCACTTTATTTCAGAAGTATTACAAGTATGGCTTTGAAACTTACCATACTTGTTCACCATCATAACCTCCATCTACAGACAAGAGTACATAACTCTGTCAAGGTTTTTGACAGAATTATGGCCCTTTTTTGACTTAGAAAGTGTATTGAGCTTGGTTAAGTTTTTTGTACCACCTCACTTTATTTCAAAACCATTGGAGGTATTGCTTTGAAACTGACCATACTTGTTTACCATCACGACCTTCATCAACAGACAAGAGGACATAACTCTGTCAAGGTTTTTGACAGAATTATGCCCCTTTTTGACTTAGAAAATACATTGAATATGGGTAAAATCCACTTATTGCCTTAACCCTTTGAGATATTGCTTTGAAACTTTTAATGCTATTTCACATCATTACCCCCATCTGTACGCAAGAGAAGGTAACTCTGTCAAGGATTTGTTTTAAAAATTAAGGCCTTTTATCGACTTAGAATCTTGGTTAAGTTTTTAGTACCAGTCCACTTTTTGACTGAACTGTTTGAGATATTAATTTGAAAGTTGGAATACTTGTTTACAATCATGATTCCCAAACATGTCCAGGAGAAGGTAATTCTGTCAAAGATTTTATTTGAATTATGGCCCTTAACTCTTTTGACTTAAACATTTCAAACTTTGCTGCAGTGTTCAAGGGTATCACACAATTCAGTAAAATAATTCTTCACTAAATATCTTAATGCTCATGGCCATTGTTCACTTTAAAAATACAGAGATTCTTGTATTGCCTTTTACTGCAAAAACTTTTTTTATTGGCAAGCAATAAAAAAGTCGAGCGCGCTGTCTTACGGACAGCTCTTGTTTATAATACCGTAAAATTTGACCACTTTTAAAAGAGACAGATTAGGTTCAATTGATAATATATTTTTTGAGTCCATACACTCGGATAATACTAAAAGATATTTAAATGTAGCAGAAACGTTTTTAAAAACCGTTACAAGATCGAAAATATACGCCGCAATCTGCGGTCCCGTTCTCGAGTTCCTATGGTTCAGTCTAAATCAAAGGTCATTGGGTCCAGGTTGCAAACTGTCAAAAACTTTTCTGATATTGTCAAGAAAATGAATAATGTGTCATTAACATATGTGCTTACTTTTTTTACGAGACTGAAAAAAAAACCCGCAAAAAAAAAACTTGAAAACATAATGTTAATTATTTCTAGGCAGGAAAATTATTATGTAGATCTATATTTACAAAAATGGTAAGGAAAGAACTTGAAAATGTAAACTCTTTGTATATCTTCTATAATATTTCAAGTTTGTGTTTTGTGACACCAGTTTGTATTACAGCACAGTGTATAAAAATTACCGCGTTTAAAATGAATGATGTACATGAATGGAAAATAGTTATTCAGTACAGTAAAGATTTCCTTATTTCTTGTAAAGATTTCCTTATTTCTTGACAATGGATTTCATTTACTTTTATTTAAAGTGGCTTTCAGCTTTGTTATGGTTAACTACCAGTAATTTACCCAAAACTGGGCGGTTGTGGCAATGCTCATTCATGGTTATTTTAGACCTTTGAATATAAGAAATTAGAAACAGTCAATTGATATTGCAAAATATTTCCTGAAGTTAAGGAAACATGAGTTTTAAGTGTACATAAAAACTGCCATTTAATGACAAAAAAAACAGTGTACATGAAACTGCCATTTGATCACATACAAAAAAACAACAACTACCCATGTGTATTACAATATGATATTGCCTTCTTGATCCAGACACCATTGAAAGTGTTTTAGTTACTATGTTGTTATTGAAATGTGTACAATGTCTTCTTTGTATTTGAGAGAAATGTTCATTGTTGCATTGATTTTGCATGTTGATTATCAGGTTGATCTACAAAGTGAAACAGATGGGTATTGGCAGACCAGCTTCCACGAAAACAGTGTTATTCTTTCTTTGCATGCATGCAGTGTTAAATGCGGGTGGGTGGGGTATCATATAACTTTCGGTAGTTTTTAACTGTGGAAAACACAGTATTTTGTAAATGATTCATGATATCTTTCGTGATTCTGTGCAAGTTGATACTGTGGCTTGATATTCTATAATGTATTATATTTAGTAGCATTCTGAATTTTAATCCATGCCATGATATTATTCTTTCATGCATTGTAAAACTGATGTGTAACAGTCAAAAGTAATTCAATAGTTCTGAAACTTTTCTGTTATTATTGTTGTTAATGGTGTACATTATAGTAGTAGTATTTAAGTATGATAATTAAGTAAAGAGGCTTGTGCCTTTACAAATCCAACCATTAAACTGTAACTTGAGACAGTGGTATTGAATAGGACAACTAAGCATTCAAAGAAAATAGATTGACTTTCAGGTTTTATAGATTTACCATAATGTTCCTAAAAATTGACTTGGGGGAAAAAAAGGAAAATGATACAGTCAAAAAAATGAAACACTGTGATTGGTTAATTTTAAATCTCTGTATGGAATAAACCAATGAGATGTTTGTGTCATAGACTGGTCACCTTTGTCAAGCATTTTAACAGGCACTGAGCAGTCATTACGTTGTATCAAACAGCTGTCATTTTAAGGAAAGTCAATCCATTCTTGTTATACCCCCCCCCCCAAATAATCAGAAAATTGTTTGTAAAAATTTGGACTCCTTGTATATTTGTAAAATGCTACTGAGGTTTTCTCATATGGATTCTGTTTAATGGGTTAAATATGGTACAAACACAGAATTTCCAATACAGATCAATATGTATAGGATTGTAGAGCTGGGGGACAGTTTAAGATGACCAGGTCTCTGTGGTTAGCCTCTATGTCATTATTTGTAATCTTACACTGACCAGCTGCTGTCTCTATGTCATTAAATCTTCTCCAGAGATTTCATAGGCAGGAACTTGTTGATTGGTCAGTTCTACAACAGTCAACATCTCAGTGAAGAATTAATTATTCCAAGAAATCTTTAGAAAAAAGCATAAGAAAAGTAACATCATTATTGTTATGTGGTTTGTTTATATGCCATATGTGAGATATTTTACCCCCCCCCCCCCCCCCAAAAAAAAAAAAAATAATAATGATAAAAAATTGGTGCTATTTCATAGATTGGCTGTTTTTGTGTCGCCTGTACAGAGTAGTAGCAACATATAGCCATCGCTTCTCCATGGTCTGTCTGTCCTACAAACATAATTATAGAGAAGAATAGGTAACAGTAAGCTTTTATGTGGCTATTTGTTCTCTTAAGTGGCTAAAAGAACAATAGAGAGAACAACAGATTAGCACTTTATCACCAAACTTTGAGCACATCCGTCTGTCTGTCAGTCACATGACTTGTCCGGGCTACATTTCAAAAACTACTGGTGCAATTTCATCCAAACTTTTTCATTTTGTGATAGGAGTTTAAGAATTTTTGATTTTTATAATAAAAAAACTCATCCCATGTTAAAGGATACAGTTACTTTGTAGCAGAGATACTTTGCTACTATTGTGAAGTTACTGATGCTATCATTTAATGCAGTCTGAATACAATTGATTCCTGCATATTGAGTTTTACTTGGGCTGACATTGATTTCGGCTAGACTTGTTCTATATCGGTTTTAAGATTAATTGTAATCTTATGATGATGGATAAACAGCATATACCAGTCCAGATTTTTAAGCAGAAAATTTGACACACAGTCCAAAGGGTTGTTTATTATTCAGAAATAGAAAGTATATTAGATTTGTTGATAGTTTGTACATATTTTATCTAAGTCACACAGCTTGAAAGTTTGAGGATACAGTTGTGTAAGTAGATATAGCCCATTAACAAGTTTTTATCTGATTTATATCATGGGTGGGGTGCTATTATAAAAGTGCTGACTCAGCTTCTTGATAAAACAACAAAGTCAAAAATTTAATGAAATACTGTTATAATACACAACTTTTACTATGAGGTTAGCTACTTGCCTCCATGATACAAGCTTTTTGCCTCCAGCTAGTTTGCTGCTTCTGTGTGTGTATTTGGTTTATTTACCCTCGTAACCGGAATGAACCATAATGGGCGAGCTTGTTAGCTGCTTTCAGGATTAGTTGTGTTTTATGGGGATGATATTATTG